AAAACTTACTGTTTTCCCAGTGCCGTTGGGGCCCTGGATAAGAGTAACTGGCTTGAAGAATTTCACCTGCTGGTAATCACCGGAGTCCGGACCAAAGCTCCGGATGCCTTGGATTCCCATTATCTCTAATGTTGACATCCTTAATTAATCTTGCTGTCTGTCAAAACATGAACAATAATGATATGTACTGCAATAACATGTTCTATGGTTTAAAACATCAGCAATGATCATTGAATTTAATACTGATAATGTTTCTTCAGTTTAAAACAGTGAAAGATTATCTGGGTAAATATACAGAAACACAAGCTTCTCCAATCACCTCCATTTTCAACCTCATCCTTAAAGTTGTAGACTATCGTATTTCCCAAATATAAGATGCACAAAAAGTATAGGGTTTAAAAACAAGGTGTGTCTTATACAATTATGGTAGATTTTTACCAACTGATTTGTTAGAAAAAGGAGCCTCATTTGGGAATGCCGGTTCAAGGGTGACATAAAATGGGGGGGGGGGGGGGGGGGGGGGATTAAAATCAAACGTTCCCCGCAGTAACAGTTTTTGTCTTCAGGCTCAGTTGCACACTTGTTACATAAGGAATTCCTGTCTCTACGAAGATTCAACCACTTGATGTCAGCAACAAACCCCTCAAAGAAGCCATGACAGACGAATCGAACCAATGGGTGAAGTCTTCTGGGGACAATCTGACACCAGCAGATAGTGTGAAGAAACCAACTACAGAAAAAGTTTGCATCTGGGTGAATAGATCCTTGTTTGCATCTGGGTGAAAAGATCCTGGGCTATCCTCCAAATAACGGTCCCAAATTATCGAGGCCGAAAATATACCCAAACAGGTCCTAAGTCACATGTAAAATGCGGACTTCCGGCAAATTAAATAGCGGACTTCCAGCGACTACCGCCGAGAGTATATCCCGCGCCGCACATAGCGGGGCTAAACTAGATAGCTGGGACTCACGAGCAGCAGCTACCGCATCTCCTGCAGCTTCCTTCATTTTATTTGCTCTTGAGTCCTAGCCATCTAATTTAGTCCCGCTCCCCCCGTTGCGGGAAGGGAGATACTCGTGGCGATAGTCGCCAGAAGTGCGCAATTTACATGTGACTGAGGCCCTGTTAGGGTATATTTTCGGCCTCAATAATTTGGGACCATTATTCGGAGGATAGCCAGATCCTGGCTTGCATCTGAGGGAAAAGATCCTGGTTTGCATCTGGGTGAAAAGATCCTGGGGTAATGCTAAGCCTGAGCTCATTGTTAAGTCATTGAAGAAGTGTAACATTTCAAATGCCAAAGGTGGAACTTAGGATGAGGCAATATATGAAGACAAGTGACTTATCAGACACAGACAAGGACAAGCTAAAGAACTTTCATAAATATGGAGGAGAGTTTTTAAAGAGTTTTATGAATTCAATGATACTTAAAATGTGAGTTCAATAACTTATGTTATCATATTATTATATTTTTTCTTCAAAATTTCAGGTCCCAAAATCAAGGTGCTTAATGAAAATGGGTTCAGCTTATACCTGAAGAAATACTGTAATTCTCTGAGTTCTGGGCTGTAAACTCTGGCGAAAAATTCTAGCTATTCATCCACTTCTGGGCTTTGGTTTTGTTTCACTGAAACTTTCAGGACTTGAGTGTTGCATGTTATGCACACCTGATACTACAGATCTGGTTTTTTTGTGTGTGTAGAGCGTTGGTTCCTTGACTGCCAGGCAGATGTGTACTCCAACTTAGTTACTTTGAACACACCTTCAGACCAGATGTAAACAAAAGAATGAACGGCTATCCTCCGAATAACGGGCACAAAAGATGGCGGCCGCAAAAACACCCTAACAGAGCCTCAGTCATGTGTCAATTGCGCACTTCCGGCAACTTAATTTGCGGTTTTTCGGCGACTACCGCCACCGCCGAGAGTATCCCCAACGCCGCTCACACGGCGACTGAGGCCCATATTTTGTGCGAAGGATAGCCGAATGAACATACATCTCTGTTCCATACTCTAGCGGTCAATAGTAGTACTCTCCTTAACAGTATCATTCACTCAATAAGCTACTATCACTTACCGTGGTTGTGGTTTCTCTGTTTTGTTTCAGTTTCAAATTTGTTTAGTCTTTTTACTATGGATTCGTTTGTCAGAATCAATATTGCAGTCAGTTTCCCTATATTTTGTACATGCTATTTCACTGCCCGTTAACGGAGCAGCCTGCAGTTACAGTATCACTTTGTTAATATTCACCAGTCCGCCTCTGAGGTGAATGAATGAAAGCCCGTACCCTTTACTTTAAAGGCGAAGGGATCGCAGCTGTTACTGTTGATTCATTTTCTGTTTCATCACTTTATACACGTTACAGCTGGTTCTGCTACTAGTCTTGCTAGTACTAATATTTATTTTGAAAAAATTAACAAGTCTCTGGATGTGAGGTGAAATAAATACAGCAAACTGTCATAGACAGTTTTGTGAAAAACTGAAATCACAGAAAACACAAAAACTGGTTCTAGAAGAACGTCTGCACGGCAACATTTGTTTATGTTAGAGTAGTTTCCCCTGAATGTTTTCCCGCGGCTGATATTATCAATATAGGAGCCGCCTTGATGTAGTGGCTATACGTTCACCTGCGGGTCTGAAGGTCGTGGATTCAAATACCGGTGTTGTGGACTTTTTTTTTCAGAAATTACTTTGCATTCCAGATCTTTCCCGCATATAATGGGTACAAGTTAAAGCTCTGAGGGAAAAAAAGGCGACAGGCATGATGCTGACCATTTTACCCACCAAGCGTGGATTGGCCTATACAGTGTTGGTCTAGCCACCGCCTTCTCTAGATAAATAGAGAAGACCGTGGTCTAGCCTTATATTCGTAATGCCGGGATGCCGTGTTCGATCCCTGCTGCGGGCCATGCGCCTTGCGTTGGTTTCGACAGTGTATCAAGAAATCCGACCGTCCAGTAACCAATGGCAAACTACTGGACGTAAATTTGCCTAGAAAAACCACACAACTGTCAGGGGCTTTTGGGGTTGGTTCTCCGACGTCCTTTAAAGGATACGAAACTAACCTAGCGTTATTATATATGCGTAAGATGTGGAAACAAGTCCTTTACTTCTTCTGTCAATATAAAAATCCGTCTTCACAATGAAGGTTGGCCAATGGATCTCCAACACGTCTTTCGGCTTGGTAGTGCATTCTCTTAAACTGCTTTTTTCACATATCTTAATGTTATCCTCCCACTTATATTGCGATCCAGCCCTTGCCTTTAGAGATTCCACCCAGAATGGGTTTTTAAAGAGTTTTATGCCGTGTAATATGGCCATAATATCATGATTGTCTCCTTTTTCATTCCTAATCTCATCAGAACTTATAATTTTTTTAATTGCTTTTTTTTATTGTCTAGGAGTCTGTACCATTTAAAAGGACTGAGTGTACATTGTATTTGACAACTATCATTTTATTGTCTTGTTTGTTTCTCTGGATGTCAGTATTTTTTGCATGGCTTTGAAAATATCTTCTGTCTTTAAAAGTGTGTTTTTTATCCGTCGAATATACTGTAGTGATATATTTATGTGTCATTCAGTGTTTTATTATTATTATGCTCTGAAACAAGGATTAGGCTACTGAGGACCATGTTAGAAATATGTAAGATGGGATGTGGACCCCCCCCCTCCCCCTTTTTTTTAATTTTCTTGGTGTCAGCGCCGCTGTGTCTTTGAGATCATGTTTACTTCAGCCTTGAGTTCCCCGGCTAATTCAGTCGAAAGTTCTGGTTATTTTTTTTTCTCTCTAATTCTGGACACTGTAAGTCTTGTTTCAGTATTTCAGTTTTGGGTGCCCATCTGTTTTAGTGACCTTGCTTGCTTGCTTGAATGCAGACTATTAGTTCTCACGTGTTAGGCAGATACACTCTGACCTTTAAGGAAACATGCATAAATAGTAAATAGTGGCCTTTTATTATATGATTGTTAGGAGGCAGAGGAGCTCCTTTTCCCCTCAAAGCGGGCCCCGGAAACCACACATGGGTGTGATCGTGTGGAACAGTGAAACAGACGTAACCACTTACACCAGTGATTTACAACTTTACTACCCCGCGACCTTTTAATGCAGTTCCTCGTGTTGTGGTGACCACCTACCATAACATTATTTTTGTTACTACTTCAAAATCATTGAATATGTGTTTTCCGGTGGTTTTAGGCGACCCCTGTAAAAATGGATCGCGCTCCACAGGTTGAAAACCGCTGAGTTACACTTTACAATAAATACACTTTACATGATGGTGTCGATAATTGGGCTATATTTGAGCGACATCCTTAAAAGAATTTGGCTGTCTACAGTGTTGCCACTTTGGATGTTTTACATCAAATTTAGATGTTTTTCATTGCATTTAGATGGCGTTTTTTTGACGTTTAGATGGTAGATGTTTTTCTAGAAGTTTTTATTTGAAGTGAATTTATCAAATCTAACATAAGAAACTAGATGAAATTTAACTTCTTAAATGCTATCTTGACAATAAAATTCGGCCTGATTAGAGTAGGAAATGGCTGGTCCATTTATCAGCTCCCTGACTGGGTATTAAAAGAAATTGGAACAGCTAAATCATACCAGAGTCATTTTGGATCTGAAGCTTTAACTTCATCATCCAAGCTAAGTTTATCCTGTGGATCTTGTGGGGCAGACTTCAGTTAAGGATGAGGACATGATTCTATAGGGTAAGTCATATCAATTGCTATGTAATTTGTGACTCTTTCAATTTGGATGTTTTTTTTCTAGATGTTTTCCACGCAAATTTAGATAATTTTTGACTCTGTTTTGGATGTTTTTTGGGTCAAAGAAAAGTGGCAACACTGGCTGTCTGTAAGCAGATCACCTGGCAGCGTCGACAAATGTAAACAATTGTTGTCAGGTGGTCTCTGCATGCACACTTTTATCTTTCAGAGTTCACACGGACTGTGACTAAGCCGCCAAGTTGAGCATAGCTAGCAGACTGCAGACCTAAAAAATGGCGGAATTAGACTCCCGCCTCAGTTATGTCTTGTATTATTTTATCCTCCCAGCTGTTGTCGTGTACTTGGTCGCAGTGTATGTATTTGGGATTACCCGGCATAAACTACACCATCTTATGCATGGATTTATAGGCAACTGGATGCACCGCAAACTCTTTCTCGAAGTTAAGAAAATCTTGTTTCAAGGCATGCAGGACCTGAAAGAGAAAGCCCAGAGAGACTTGGACGTTTTAGAAATCGGCGTTGGAGGCGGCGAGAATTTTAAATTCTACCCCAAGGGGACCAATTTAACGTGCTTGGACCCTCACAGTCACCCGCATCGTGAGGCCCAGTTTAAGAAGCATTTGGAGGAATGTGGCGACCATGTCAAGGTGGTTGGCTTTGTCAAGAATTTCGCAGAAGATATGTCCGATATTAAGGACAACACGTTTGACGCTGTGGTGTGTACCGTTTGTCATGTGTACTGTCCGTGACCCTGCTGCAACCCTGAACGAGGTCAGGCGAGTTTTGAAACCCGTAAGTATACTTTCATTATCAACCATTTCATTCCTTAACTCCCAAGTCAGCTGCAGAAATGATAATCATAATAATAATAAATGGGTACTTTATTTTTAATTTGCCTCAAAACAGGAAGTTCCTGGTAACGTCCAATATTCTAGGGGTGTTATTGGATGGGTTAGAGTTATTGGCTCTCCTCCGAACGGCATCATAATATTATGGCGGCCAAAAAATATCCAAAAATATCTAAAATATGGACTTTCTGCCAAGGAACAAATCGCGGCAAAACTAGGATTACTTGACAATATCAGCATTGCACACGGTAGTAGCAGACGATAAATACCGACCGTTTACAATTTCGAGCGTTTTCTGCGGATGATACTAGCAGATGATAATAGCGACCGTTGACTATTTCGAGACATTACAGACGATGAAAACAATATGGCAGGTAGACCATGCAGATAAGCAGTACTGTTCGTCCGATTGAGGATTTAGCAGCGATAGATGTCAGACCTGACGACCTGTATCCTCACACTTTTCGGCTTGCGCAAAACGCGATTAAACTTGCCACCGAGCGTATCCCCTGTGCCGCGCGGATGGGGGGCTAAACTAGGTGCCTGGGACTCACGAGCTAATTAGTTGGAGGATGTTGCAGGAGATGCAGTAGCTGCTGCTCGTGAGTCCCAGCCATCTAGTTTAGCCCCCATCCGCGGCGCGGGGGATACAGTCAGCGGTGAGGCAGTCACAGAAACAGGTCCGCAAGTAACATATCGCTGTGACCCTGTTAGAGCATTTGTTTTGTTATATGGAGCCGGCATATTTTTAATAGAACTGAGCCCCATTCGGATATTTTAGGATATTTTATGGCCACCACAATATTATGATGCCGTTTGGAGGAGAGCCGAGTTAATAAATCCCATCAGTCTGAGTCTGAGGCTGTTGGGGCTGACAAAGATCCTTACCCCAACCTATAACACCCCTAGAATATTGGACTTTCCCAGGAACCCCAGGATTTCCTTTAGGGTGAATTAAAAATAAATGTTGTGAATGGCAAATAAATTATAATATATACAATATTTAAACAAATATTGCAAAAAAAGATAACTTTTAATATATAGAAGCAAAATGGGGGAGGGGGTGGGGCCTTAGCCCCCGTACACATTTTTGGGTGGATGGGAATGCAGGAACTCGGAGTACCTAAACCCCCAGGTTCCGGCAGCCTTAGCAGTTGATTTGGTAGCATACCTCTTTGTGTTTATTTTGATAGATATGTAAGCATCAGACTCATTAGAATGCAATGGCAAACTACTGAACATAAAACTTCAGGTAGACATTTTAAAATTTGATCTGAGGAGGGCCGGATTTGTGATTTATGATTATATCATCGTATTAGCAGAACATTGCTCTGGTCAAGGTAGCAGTAGGTCCTTTGCAGAACATTGCTCTGCTAAAAATCAACCTGAAAAAAAAAAATTCTAGGTCTCTTTCCGGCCTCTTGCACCCTTAAATCAAAGGAGTCACTTATGTCCTGTGCCCATATTTGTGATAATAATAATTAATATACAGAAGGAAACAACAGAATTAATTTACAGAATAATGCAAGCAAAGACATCATTTCTTCAGATGAAGAACATTTAGTCTTACTGTCCATGGCAATGAGAACAAGAGTTTTAGGTTGTTACAAACTGTCAATATCACTGTTTGACCATGAATCATTGGCACTTTCAACAAGCACCCTGCCTATGCTTGAGTGTAATACCTTGAAGTGACACTGCCTTCTTCGCTCATGTCACAGGCATCCTTGTACTTTCCTGATGAGGTTGAACAGTTCTCTCATTGTGGACAGAAATACAAATGATAGTTGAACATGAAATAGCACAATCTCATGTGTAATCTAACACTTGAGATTGGTCCTGTAAGTTTGAGGGGTGATAAGCCCATATTAGCTTGGTCCAAAAGGTTTTCAAAACTTCACAGCCAGATTGTGGTGTTCTTGTTTACTGTAACTGCCAGATATGATGCTACAACCCCAGATATCTGATCCAGGTGTTACTGTTGGTAGATACAGCTGCATTGTCGCTGTCTAGGGATGTCATTGGCATGACGTTCATGTAGATTACTGAACTCACCAGCTGCTTTGTTGCACAGCCCTGTCACATTCCATAGGATCAGTCTAATCATGACAGCTTATTCATGACAGCTTATTCATGACAGTCTAATCATGGCAGCTTATTCATGACAGCTTATTCATGACAGTCTAATCATGACAGCTTATTCATGGCAGTCTAATCATAGCAGTCTATTCATGGGTCTAATCATGACAGCTTATTCATGACAGCTTATTCATGGCAGTCTAATCATGACAGCTTATTCATGACAGTCTAATCATGACAGCTTATTCATGACAGTCTAATCATGACAGCTTATTCATGGCAGTCTAATCATAGCAGTCTATTCATGGGTCTAATCATGACAGCTTATTCATGACAGTCTAATCATGACAGCTTATTCATGACAGCCTAATCATGACAGCCTATTCATGACAGCCTATTCATGACAGTCTAATCATGACAGCTTATTCATGACAGTCTAATCATGACAGCTTATTCATGACAGTCTAATCATGACAGCTTATTCATGACAGCCTAATCATGACAGTCTAATCATGACAGCTTATTCATGACAGTCTAATCATGACAGCCTATTCATGACAGTCTAATCATGACAGCTTATTCATGACAGTCTAATCATGACAGTCTAATCATGACAGCTTATTCATGACAGTCTAATCATGGCAGCTTATTTATGACAGCTTTTTTCATGACAGTCTAATCATGGTAGTCTAATCATGACAGCTTATTCATGACAGCTTATTCATGACAGTCTAATCAGGACAGTCTATTCATGACAGCTTATTCATGACAGCCTAATCATGACAGTCTAATCATGACAGCTTATTCATGACAGTCTAATCATGACAGCTTATTCATGACAGTCTAATCATGACAGCCTATTCATGACAGTCTAATCATGACAGCTTATTCATGACAGATCCTGACAGACAAATCCTGCTGTCATCTCTTTCCTATAACTACTATTCTTGCATCTAATGGACCCCAGATATTTTAAGTTGTTCAGTGCACATTATTTGCTCACAAATAGAGATGTATATATTTTGCTGTTTTGATAACAGTCACACACCATGTCTACTGCTTCAACTTTTTTTAAACACATGCAGTTATAATATTAACTCGTTGTGTCCATATTGTAAGCTTGGCTTCTTCTCATTCTGGATGTTATTTTAACACCCATTCAGACCCCCCCCCCCCCCCCCCCCCCCCAAACACTATCATGGTAAAGGTGATTAAAGAAAGAGAAGGAATTTATTGTAACCCAACCGCCAGTTGAGCCTCCTAGGCGGACAGGTCAGAGGACAGGCAAAGAGAGAACCCTGGCCCTCTAGGTTCAGGGTTAAAATGTGGGACAGAGACCCCCTATCTTTGTAAAACTTCATTTCATCACAAAACGGAAATTCATATAAATTTCAGTAGACAAGAATGGAGGCAGGTGAACTTCAAGGGCGTGAAATGCTGAAGAAGGATAAAAAAAAATTATTTCTGGTACCAAAAGAGTTAATAATCATTGTCTCCTTTCTGAGTAGGCTACAAGTTTTTATATATACGTATGATTAATTTCACATATCTTTTATGTCTCCCAGGGAGGAACATTTTTCTTTCTGGAACACGTGGCAGGAAAGAAGGGGACCTTTATTCGACGATTGCAGAATTTGCTACAGTTGATCCGTCCGGCTGATAAAGGCAACATAAACAGAGAAACCTGGTCCTTTTTAGACCAATCCAATTTTTCTCAAGTACAATACGAACATTACACGGCCAAAACATGGTTTTTCTTCTTTATGAAACCGTGCTTATACGGGACAGCAGTAAAGTAATGTAATTATTGATGTGGTACTTCACTTTTCTGTTAGTAGGCCCGTAAGCAAAGAATAAATAACATTGTAACCAGCCATGCATGTCCTCAGAGGGGACCAAGGAGGGTTGGCATGAATCTAGTTATCTGTCATATTTGGCTAAAGTATCTGGTACTTTCATTTTAGCTCACTCCAAACATGAGAACCCCAGAATCCCCGAGAACGTCCAGTATTATGTGAGGGGGGGGGGGTTAGTCAGTGTTACTTTTACACCAGAACTATCCTATATATTGGACTTTCCCAGGTTTTTCGGGGTTTCCCATGTTTGGGGGTAGCTAAAATGAAAGTACTGAGTATCTTATTTATCTGACTGTGATCTCATTCAGTAATTATTTTCTTAACAATCATTTTCTATGCTACTTGTTTTTTTCTTTCTTCAGCTATGCTATTTTTTCAGAATTGTTTACATGGCCGCATTTCCAAAGCTCCGAGTGTTTTTCTTCGATTGTGTATTGTTTAGTTAGGACAACATTAGAATTGGCAATATTTGATAGTGTCAACTAAGAAAAAGTTATTGTCTGGATCAGGTATTCTCAATCTTTCTAATGCTGCAACCCTTAAATACAGTTCCTCATGTTGTGTGTTGTGGCAACCCTTCAATACAGTTCCTCATGTTGTGTGTTGTGGCAACCCTTCAATACAGTTCCTCATGTTGTGTGTTGTGGCAACCCTTCAATACAGTTCCTCATGTTGTGTGTTGTGGCAACCCTTCAATACAGTTCCTCGTGTTGTGGCAACCCTTCAATACAGTTCCTCATGTTGTGTGTTGTGGCAACCTTTCAATACAGTTCCTCATGTTGTGTGTTGTGGCAACCCTTCAATACAGTTCCTCATGTTGTGTGTTGTGGCAACCCTTCATTACAGTTCCTCATGTTGTGTGTTGTGGCAACCCTTCAATACAGTTCCTCATGTTGTGTGTTGTGGCAACCCTTCAATACAGTTCCTCATGTTGTGTGTTGTGGCAACCCTTCAATACAGTTCCTCATGTGTGTTGTGTTTGTGTGGTTGTGGCAACCCTTCAATACAGTTCCTCATGTTGTGTGTTGTGGTAACCCTTCAATACAGTTCCTCGTGTTGTGTGTTGTGGCAACCCTTCAATACAGTTCCTCGTGTTGTGTGTTGTAGCAACCCTTCAATACAGTTCCTCGTGTTGTGTGTTGTGGCAACCCTTCAATACAGTTTCTCGTGGTTGGTGTGTTGTGGCAAACCCTTTCAATACAGGTTCCCTCATGTTGTGTGTGTTGTGGCAACCCTTCAATACAGTTTCCTCATGTTGTGTGTTTGTGGCAAACCATTTTCAATCAGTTTCCTGCGTGTTTGTGTGTTGTGGCAACCTCATACAGTTCCTCATGTTGTGTGTTGTGGCAACCCTTCAATACAGTTCCTCATGTTGTTGTGTTGTGGCAACCCTTCAATACAGTTTCCTCGTGTTGTGTGTTGTAGGCAACCTTCAATACAGTCCTCATGTTTGTGTTGTTGTGGGCAACCCTTCAATACAGTTCCTCATGTGTGTGTTGTGACGAACCCTTCCAATCCTCAGATTCGATTCAATGTTGGTGTGTTGTGGCAACCTTTCAAATACAGTTTTTCCTCGTGTTGTG